TTTTTTAAAAAAACAAACAAACCTGGATCCAGTAGAAAAATACATGATGTGAGCCAAAATTTAAACCATTTAGTGAGGTCATATCCCCATAATCAAAAATGTAACTAAAAATCTTAAAGTTCCTCTGCAAAACTAGTGACACTACCTCTTACCAAATTACAGTTGTAATGTAACTTAATTGTGCCTTGTTTAGGGGAAAAGAAACTAATTGCAAGTGATTCATTGTAACAAGTTACTTCCAAGCACTGAGAATGGGAAGGGAAACAAGCAAGCAGCTCCTTACCGTGGTGAGCTGTCTTTCTTTATTATGTTGAGGTGAAACAGAGAAGGGGCCAGGCACACAGCTATGTTCATGGGAGTCATTTGATTTTCTTCTACAGAGGTGACATCATTCAGGAAACACAACAGAGTCTGCAAAACCTCTCTGTTTTCATCTGACATCAACATTATGGCTGCTTGAACTGCCTGGACTCGCTGTTCTTTGGGAACGTCTGAAAAATAAAAGGAGACATTTAATAACATCTGATCAAAAATGAGAACAAGGTTTTTGAATTGTGTGATCCAATCCTTAAACTCCAGATTATGTCTAGGAGAGCTCTATACCTTTCAAACACAGAAGCATCAGTTTTCTTTAGTCACACATCTTGTGAGCTTTCTGTGCTTTGTTATTCATGCTCTGTGGATTAGAAAGTACAAGGGCCTGCTTGGCCAGGTAAGCAACCATAGACTGTGTGTACATAGATCTCTTTGCCATTAAATGACAGATTGTGTGCATCATCTGTCATGGTAAATGGAAAGTAGGATTAATTCTCTAGTTTGGCTAGAACCAGTTTAACTATTACATATCTGAGCTTCAGCTCACTAGTGGCCCATGATCCAATCAGGAGGTGGTGATTGGGACCATTTTAGGACTATTGCCCCTGGCTCAGATCATCTGACATTGCCTTTTTCTGGTATGATAGTCTACTTGCTTCTTCAGACTTCTGTTTTCAGCTCAAACCACCTGGAAATCACAATCAAGATTTTGGTTGCTCAAGTCTGTAGATCATCCAGTTACTTTTTAAAAATATTTTTTTGGTAACGTGGATAGGGCTTGAAATATATATATATATATATATATGTGTGTGTGTGTGTGTGTTCTGAATTAACAGTGGATAAGATCACAAATATCATTGCACTATGAATTTCACATTTTGAATGGTACTTCCTGGTTCAAAAATAACATGGAGATATATACTAGCAGCAGTTCTGTACAAAAGATCCATATGTGAAATCAAAGGCTTTCACGGCTGGCATCCATAGGTTTTTGTAGGTTTTTCGAGCTGTGAGGCCATGTTCTAGATCTAGAAGACTGTATTCCTGATGTTTCACCTGCATCTGTGGCTGGCATCTTCAGAGAATGGTGGCATGGAGGTGTGTGGGTTATATATACTCAACCAAAGGTTACACAGTATATATATCCTACACAGCCACAGATGCAGGAATACATTCTTCTAGAACATGGCCTCACAGCCTGAAAAACCCACAAAAAACATGAAAGATCTATACATTAGGCACACATTCCCTTAACAGTTCCCCTGTACAGAAATAGAGTATGAAAATAACTGTGAATTTTCGTGAATTTTTTAAAATCTGTATGAAAAAAACAACACACTCCCGCACAAGACTTATGTGGGAACTGGTTGGATGACTGAATACATTCCAAACTTTAATCAGATCAGAAACAGATTGATTCACCCATACCTAATTAGGCATGTAAATGCTGCATATAAATAACTGCAGTGTCTATAATACTCTGTGTGTGTGTGTGTGTGTGTGTGTGTGTGTGTGTGTGTGTGTGTAAATGAATGAATAAATAGACCTGGTCAAGTCCCTACTGCTATTATACTTGTTGTCACTGTTATCATCATCATTGTAAATATTATTAGTAACAGAAATATTTATTTTTATCTAGCCTCACCATCAAGGTGGTGAACAACATAAAATCACAAAAAAGAATCTCAGAAAAACAGCATACTACAATATGAAGTCCAAACATCCCAAACAAAATAGACAGAAATATAATACAAATACACCTCCAAGGAGAACACAAAGGCTTTTATAAGCCTGCATAATTCCTGCAGAGTTCATCTGGATAGCTTTATTGCTATAGTTAAATCTTTGGGAAGTGGTGAAGTTGTGCAATGAGCAGGGCCTTCATTTCTTTTTGAAAGTGCAATGCCATAATATCACATGCTCTTCTCTAACATTTTTATTCACTACTAGCTTGTGGGAAAAGTTCAAACAACAATAACAAAAAATAGGGAAGTCTGGGAAATGCCTATACTTCTTTATAGAGTCATGGAAATGTTTGATGCATATTTAAGGTGATCCTTAAATATTGATTACTGAAATTCCTTCAAATGCTACAGTTTGTTTACCCAGATTGAATTCAAGGTTCCTCTGTATAAATTGTGTGGGTTTCCATAGTGTAACGGGTATCACATTTGTCTAATATGAAAAAGATCCTTGGTTCAAAACTGGGAGGAAACACGCAGTTTTTACTTCAAATTACTTGTAGAGTGTTGTGTAGTGGTTTCTGTATTAGACTAGAACTCCTCACTTGGACACAGAAACCCACTGAGTGACCTTGAGCAAATAACTCTCTCTCAGCCCCAGAGGAAAGCAAAAACAAACCCCCTCTGAACAAATCTTACCAAGAAAGCATGGAATAGGTTCACTTTAGGGTCACCATAAGCTGGAAATGACCCAAAGCCACACTACAACTGTATAATCATTAATTCAAGGAAAGGGGAAGAGAAACATCATTATAATACATATTTTATATGTGAATAAACCATCCTCCTCCTCACCACTGCCACCACTATCATTGTCATATTTTCCCATTCATGCTTACATTTTTTACTCTCAGATCAGAATCAAGGCTTTTACATGTTTGACAGTACTCCAAAAGTGCTAGGGGAAGGGGCTGTTTTTCTTCTCAGTCTTACTAATATGCACTGAGAAATATTAATTCACAGCCATAATCCTTGGCTGGAATCCTGTTGATACCTTGTGCTGGCATAATTGTCTGTAAAACTGGCATAAAGCATTTTTTTTAAAAATGCTGAATAGCAGTGATTAGGAGACAGCAGAGTAACTTATCTCTGTTACCAGAGAAAATGTTCCTGCTGGGCACCTCAGAAGTTGGCACAACTGGAGCTGGCAAACAGCATTTGCTGCCATGGTTGTTCCAGTGTCTGTGGCCATTTTACCTCCGCAATCATCCTGCCGCCTTCTATGCTGATGTAGTTTTGTGTGCCAACAGAGCTACAGTCCTTCAGTTCAAAGGCCCGATACTGCACACAATATCCTTATTTTCTGCTAGTGGATACAACCTTGGTACTTACATTGATAGATGTGGAGAAAAGTTTCTCCTAGCTTGCTAGTGAGAAGAGGCTCAGGGAGGTCTCTGAAAAACTGTTTCACCATGTCAGCCACATCATATGCGGACTGGTCTTCATAGCTGACATTTTCAGTTGAGCTTTCATTCATTTGACGCAGGGCCTGTATTCGAGATTTGACACCTGATTTCCGGAAAAGTCCCACCTAAAACATATACCACAGAAAGTTAACTCAGTAGCCATTTGTCATGATCATGGGAGAAAAAATAATTTTATCCAAGTATTATTATTATTTTTAAAAATCCTTGACCTATAAGTAAACCACAAGTAACAAAAGATCAGCAATCCATTATATTTATTTGTATATTTATTTATTATTCACCACATTTATATCCCACATTTCCTTTATTGAGTTCAAGGAGGTGTACATTTTGTTCCTCCTCTCCACTTTGTCTGTGTGTGTGTGTGTTGTGTGCTTTCAACTCATTTCCGACTTATGACAACCCTAAGGTGAACCTATCACAGGGTTTTCTGGGTAAGATTTCTTCAGAGGAGGTTTGCCATGGCCTCCCTCTGTGGCTGAGAGTGTGTGATTTGCCCAAGATCACCCAGTGGGTTTTTCATGGCTGAGCTGGGATTCAAACCCTGCTCTCCAGAGTCATAGTCAAACCACTACGCCATGCTGGCTTCTCTCCACTTTACCCTTCCAAAAATCCTGTGAGGTAGGTAAGCCTGAGAGAGAGAGAGACTTGTTTTCTTTGTTAGAAAGACTGTGAGTTGTTGGTAGATCACACAAAAGTTCTACATGGAGTGATTAAGCTGTAGTCGCTTGTTTACACATGGAAGTTAGTACCTGATGCTACACAGCACAAGTGGTAAACATGTAGACTTACATTTACTGACTTTCTGAAAACAAATATTCTATTTAAAGCTGAACATTTGGCCCAGCAGGGCCTTCAAAGCACTCCAAGGTAGAATTGGGCACACAGACCTTTCTTTCGCAGTGGCCTATGGCAGTTGACCATGGAGGATCTAAATAATAATAATAATAATAATAATAATAATAATAATAATAATAATAATAATACAATTTTATTTCTATCCCGCCCCTCTGCAGCGCAATCGAGGCGGCATAAATTCAGCCCAGATAAGGAAGAAATTGAAATAGCCAAAGATTTCCCATATCTTGGATCAGATATTGACCAGAATGGAAACTGCAGGCAAGAAATCAGAAGATGGCTAGGAATGGGAAAGGGAGCCGTTAAAGAACTAAACAAGATCCTAAAGTGTAAAGATATACAACTGAGCACTGAAGTTAGAATCATCCAAGTCATTGTATTCCCCATCACCATGTACAGAGGTGAGAGATGGACAATAAAGAAAGTGGATAGGAAGAAAATCAACTCATTTGATTTGTGGTGTTGGAGAAGAGTGCTGAGGATACTGTGGATGGCTAAAAAGACAGACAGATGGGTCCTAGGACACATCAAGCAAGAACTCTCCCTGGAAACCAAGATGACAAAACTGAGACTGTTGTACCTTGGCCACATTATGAGAAAGCATGACTCATTAGAAAAGGCAATAATACTAGGAAAGATAGAAGGTAGTAGAAAGAGAGGCAGATTGCACACCAGATGGATGGACTCAGTCAAGGAGGTCACAGGTCTGAATCTGCAGGACCTAAGAAGAGCAGTGGAGGATAGGGGGTCTTGGAGATGTCTTATCCAAAGAGTCACCATGAGTCAGTGTTGATGGGAAGGCAATTAACAACAACAACAACAACACTGTGGCAGTTAGCTGTATGAAATATTATTACTACCAAAGTAACATATCAGTTGCCAAGCTGGATTTGAAGGACATGATTTTCAGACTAAACTATCAGCCTTCTAGAATCCCCCCCCCCTCATTTTTCTTGTTGCCTTTATCTGGGAAAAGGATGAGGTAGAAAGATTAGTTACATAGGGATTCTGCAAGATATGTTTATCATGTGTTGTTTTACTGCAAGAAACTGATAATTCTTCAAATGAGCTGTCTGGTATTTTTGCACAGCACTGTGCTTTCATAACAATTCTTATAAATGGAATCCCCCTGAGGCCAATTCCTGCATACAAACCACACTTTTATTCCCTAGTGAAGTTCTGTTACACCACTTGGGATCTATTAGGGTTGGGTTTTTTCCCCATTTTGCAGTGGACGGATGAGACCCACGAAAAGAAAAGAATGGGTACATTTCTGTTTCAAATTACAATACAGTACTTAAGTTTTTCTTTGCTTCTCCCATATGCTCTCTTGTTAAATTTGTCATAAGGCTGTTAGATGCAGATTTGAAGAAAGACCAAAAAGTCTGTACAGGAATAAAACTGTTCAGGGGAGGTCTTTTACTCCTGTATCCCCCAAAGAGCCCAATGAGGATTGAGCATTCTCAGTGACCACAGATGTTGACTGACTAATGCAGGGAAATGAACAAGACCCAAATTGGGGCTGAAAATAGAATGGAGTGACTGAAATTCTGCACTTAGTGCTTTGTTGCATGTCTTGTATGTTGTTATATCTAAGGTCTTCCTCCTAAGTGCTACTGTGGTGTCACAATTATTTATTAATTTGTTCCAGGTGGTCAGAGAAATTTTTCCAATGGAAAAAACTTGGAAATGCTGAGAGCAAACAATTGACCCCTAGTGTCTTCTGGGTGACATCCAACATCGTACAAGTCTGCATTGGAAATTTTCCTTCCACAATACTCCCAGCTCTACCTCTGGAGGGACCTGGTACTCTCAGAGCTAACTTGGCAGTGTATGCAGACTTGCAGGGGGAATCCAGTTTGCTCAACTGACACAACTGGATACTGTGTGTGTTTGTGGCTTCAAGTCACCTGTTGACTTATGGTGACCCCATGGATTTCATAGGGTACTTTTTAAGGCAAGGATTACTCAGAGGTGGTTTTGCCAGTTTCTTCCTCTGAAATATAGCCCACAGCAACTACTATTCATTGGCCATCTTAGCCCTATTCAGGTATGCAAAGAAAAGGAAGAGAATATGCTAGTGCCACCACATCCACCACAGTTCTAAATAAGGGAGCCTTTTTGTGTGTGCAGAGCTTCCATGGAAACCAGATTTCTGGTGTGAGGTTAATATGCTCTTTTTCCCATGTCTTCTTTTAATTCCCTTTTGAGCACCTGAAAAGAATTCTTCTTTTCCACCCGTCCACCCCCAACTGCAGAAACGATGATGGGAATTAAGTTGGGGCTGCATCCACACATTCATGCACCCAGACTTTCTCTCCCTCCTCACATCTCAAAGCACATGGATTTAAACTTCATCAGTCTCCTTCACTGTAGGAGGCAAGCAATTTAAATAGGGACGATCCCATGTTATAAAGTCTCCCCCCCAGAAGGTGTCTGTCCCATTGCTCCTAATCAATATTCAAAGGGCAGTTTGCATACTCTTGGAAGACTGATTGAGAAGAGGGTGTTTGGAGATTTATTTATTTGACTACCTTTTAATTCCACCAAAAAATTAGTGCTGAACAAACATAATTAAAACAAATTAAAAACAAGGCAGATTTTCTACCTATGCAGTGTCAAGGTTTATCTATGTATATGCAACTGAGATAGAAGAACCAGTGTGGACAAGGATTCAGGAAGACTAGGGTTCAAATTCCATGGAAACTGACTAGGCAAGTCACACACTCTCAGCCTCAGAGGAAGTCAGTGGTAAGCCTCTGTATCAATCTGGTAGGATAGGGTTACTGTAAGTCAGAGTTGAGTTTAAGTGACATAAAAACAACTGAAAGAGGTTCAGGGGCCAATTTTCTGCCATAGAATTCTCCAGGGATCATATATATTGCCCAAAATACCAAACAACAAAAACAAAATTCATAGTGGCTGGAAACCTTAATTTTGAAAAAGGGCATTTTAAAAGGTTAAGCAGCATGTCCCCAACC